ATTGTCCTCTCATGCGCTTTGTCATCATTTTGTCATCCCGTCTGTTGGCACTAAATCCAAAATCACTTTGCGGTCCATCTGAACTTGAAGCCTGACTCGTGTATGTTTCATTCCCTGTTTTCAGAGGGAGAATATAAATGTCAATTTTAAAACATACCATGCCCGGTTCTTGTTTCCTTTGTCATGCATTTACGTCTTTGTGGCTTCTCCTCTCGCCTGCTCCTATGTGTTAAATTGGTTCATGCTGCGAACTGTTTACATTTCAGTCAATTGTAGCTGCATGTTGTGTGTTTTTGTTCACTTGTCAACAATACTAACCTCATTTCCGGAAGAAGTGGGCACTCTGCTAAATGTTTCCAGGTAAATTCACTTGATCCTTTATTTATGAGGCAGAAGATAAAAGAAGAAAAAACACTTTAAATTGAATGAGATGGTGAGGATGGATGTTTACCACTGGGACAGCTATTTATATTTGTTATTATTCAAAAACTCAGATTTAAATCTGAATGTGATTTTTGCCAGCAACTTTTTGCCTCGTCTTGCTGTTAGAAAAGACCAGCTTGACAGTCGGTGGTTGCTGTGAAGTTGTCTTACAAGACTTTTCTGGAGCAAAGACCTGTGTTCAGTGATACTGATTTCCCAGAAGCATCCGTGAAGCAATGGCTATCACAGCTGCGTGGCTGTTTTTAATAAAAGGATTCCTATAGGCTCTAAGGTTGGACACATGAGACAGGAGTTTAAACTGGAGCTCTTACGGCACGTGAATTCTTCATGACTTATTGCATTATATAGATTAGATTAGATTAGATTAGATTAGATTAGATTAGATTAGATTAGATTAAAGTGGACTGATCTGGACTGGACTGGACTGGACTGGCTGAGAGTACATCAGATCAGAGCTGGTTAGATTAGATTAGATTAAATTAATCTAGGATAGACTAGAAAAGAATTGAAGTGGGGTAGCTTTAATTTGATCAAATGTAATTAGATTAGATTAGATTAGAATACATGTGATCAGATCAATTGGATTGAATTGGATTCGTTTTGGCTAGGCTAGATCACATCTGATTTAACTAGACTGGGTTTAGATCTGATTAAATCAAAGTGGACCAGATTAGATTAGACCAAACTGAATAATCATAGATTAGATTAGATTAGATTAGATTAGATTAGATTAGATTAGATTAGATTAGATCATCAACTCGTTGGTGATAGATCAATCAATGGTCACAGAAATTAAGAAAGTATTTAACAGTATGTTACGGCTATGTAAAAGTAGGAAAAGTAGAACTTAAAGTATTTACACACAGTGGTTTCTCAGTAATATAACATGTGATCAGTAACAGGCCGACGTCCCTTAATATCTCTGTTCAGCAAAACCCAAACCTGTGTGTTATTTGTTGGTGAAATAGTTAACTTGGGAATTTACAGAAATCCCTTCTTGTTACTTTTCTGATGTTTTGGGAGTTTCTGTTTCCTCATAAAGTTGAGTTTGTCATTGAAAACATTTTAATGATAATGTATTTTCCTGGGTCCTGTTGATTATTGGACAAAGATTCCATAGAAATCCAACTTTCAGATTTTAGTTATTTCATTTAATTTTATATAGAAAAAAACACACAAAACTGTCAGGAAGGTCATCATCAGTGTGAAAACACATGCACAGCTCCAGTATATGCACATGGCCGTCACTCCCTGCATCTCAGCGTGATCCATCATCACTGGATGCTCTGTAGGATTAATAAGTTATGGTCATATATCAAAGACAACCCACATGGGTGCAATTATTTCCCAATCACGACCACCGAAGAGGACGAGAAGTAGCCCATGTCGTCATGAGAACCTTTGCTGTACTTTATAATCAACTGTCGACACAATGTGCTTTGGAGAATGTCAAAGGAAAACGTCAAGGTTACGAGCTGCGGTTCATATTCCTCCGCACACTCTGATGTGTGTTATTGCAACGCAAATACATCACTGACATGAGCTAAATCCCTCGGATCTACTGTATCACCAGAAGAATGCTAATGCTCGTGCTAAAAACACATCTACATCATCACGTTAAACACTTGTGACCACATTTGAAAAAAAAAAAAAAAAAAAAAAAACCCTGCCCGTCTACGTAAACGTCCACATTGTCTCCATCTACACCCAAAGACCTGAACCTTTTGTTTGGAATGCGATATTTCTATTCAGGACTTGGTCTGTGAATAAAATATTGTCACCTTTGACACCTGTGGTTTTACCCTGTCTCCTTTTCCCTCCCTTTCTTTTCCCTCTCGTCTCAAACCTCCCTCGGGGATCAATGACTCTCTCCTGCGCTCACTTTCTCTCTGCTGGGATTTTTTTTCCACTTCAGGGAAAAATGGCAAGTATTTTCTTTTTTCTGCCCCATTTTCCTTTTACTTTCATCTCCCTCCTTCTGTTTTAAAAGTCCTGTTGGTCCTTCACTCAAGCAGTCCTTAACATCAAGGTTTAAATCAATAAGACAAAGATAAATAGTAGAGGAGAATAAAATATTTGGCTGCTGAAGTTCTTAGTCAAATAAAATAAAAAAAGTGTGAAACGTATTTTTCTCCTAACATTATTGAGCAATATACACATTGGAGATTTAAAAAAAAAAAATCCCACAAAGTACCACCAAACAAAAATGTCATTAAAATTGTATGTAATAACATTTAATGATCACAAAGTTTCAATTGACTCACGAAGGACTGTACTTGAAACCTGGTCCTGTTTGGTTGAATACGATGCTGATTTACTAACAGGAAATGAAGAAAGAGAACCCACACAAAGAGCTCCTAAGAAGCTCTATTTCTAGGTTTATTCTATTTGATTTTTACTAGTGGAACAGTTTTTGTTCTGCCAGTCGCTGTCGCAGACATAGCGTTCAGACAAACTTAATAATTGGTGAAATTGAAAACTTTTCAACAACACATCAAGTGATTTTATTAAATTCAGCTTTAGTTCATTCAATTTAATTGTGGAAGTTTTTTTGTGTTGATGTTGGTCAGTGTTTCTCAGTAGCTCCAGATTCCAGTCAAACTGTTGCAAAAATATTACTGTTAATCTGTATCCATAGATTCCGAACAAGATGCACGAAATAAAATTATACTTAGAATTGACTCATAATTACATTGTTCTGGTCAAAAACACGTAGCATGTATTCTAGCAGTTTTTGACCTGTCAACATTTTTATACTGAGTCATCATTTTTGCATTTTTCCACCAGTTTCTGAAAGTCTTCTGGCAGAGAAGTTTGATGAATACGGCTATACTTTTATTGCACCGAGGTAAGATCGTGTTCTACAGATGATTTAAAATGTGTTGTGTTTTTGTCTACTTATAATAATACCAGGAGAATGACACAGCGCCGAAGCAAAGTTCTTTATTCACTTTTGTTGAATTCACTCCAGTGTTGCTCTGGTTCCCACAGGCCATACTGCAAGGACCTGAAGCCACCTGACAAGAATAAAAACAACACCGAGTTCCTCGTGGAGTTCAACGATTATATTGACACGAAAACTCCAAACAATCCCATGTGTGAGTATAAAAACCTGACTTTTAGTAAAAGTCTTTATCTGAGCAGCTTCTATACAACATGGAGACCATCAAATGTCATAGTCACATAAAGAGTCAGTGATGTTTCTGCCAGACTCTATGGTACCAGGTAGCACAGATAGAGCTTATTCATTGAACACATGTATTTTGATGATAAAAAAAAAAAAACTCTCTTTTTGCAGATTTATTAAGGAAAGAAATACAGATGATAATGTAATTAAAATGTGAATGAAAGTTTCAAACATTTTTTATTGTACATTAGAGTTCGCCCTCTTAAGTAAAAAAGAGTAAATGTAGTTAAATAATTAAAGTAAACAAAGGATCATCATATTTTTCACGATAAAAAGCTTAACCTGCGGTAGGAGATTAAAAATGGAATAAGTAAATTATAATTGCTCTGTGACGATCACCGAAAAAGTAGTGCAAGCAGCTAAAAGGTGACCATCACGTTTGATTTAAATTACTACAAGATTATCTTTCAGTAATCTGGACCATTGTTTCGCAAAGACTGGGTCGCAACCCTCAGGTGGTTCACAAGAGATTTTTTTTTTTTGGGTCGTCTTGCATCGTGTTTCCCAGGAGTTTATAAATAGTGTCTATTGACTTGGGTCACAAAGGTTTGTGACTGAAAAAAAGTTTGGGAAACACTGATCTGGACTACAGCTAGTGGTTATTATGGAAATGTTTAAAAATGGTTGAGAATTAGCAAAACTAGCTAAATGTTTCAATAAAAACATGAAGCACATGGTATAAAGTCATCAGAAAATGAATTGTTTTCGAAAGAAGTTGCTTGCTACACTTTCTAGTCAGCTCAAATAAGTGCAACAGGTCACTTTTTCTAGACAAAGTTCTGACAGAAAACAACTGAAATAACAGGTGCTAACAAAGATGTCCGGCCTGATCTTTGGACCTCGCCTTCTTCTTTGAACCTGCCGACGACCTGCTCCAGTCCATTAGTGCGGAGGCTCGTCGGTACACCTCCGCCGCCTCCTCCAAACATTTATGACACACCACACACACATCAGAGAAAACAGCTGGTGTAACACTTTATCCACCCTAAAGTCCCCCACCCAACACCGCCACCGCCGCCGCCGCCACCGCCCCCACTCGGAGCAGTGGTTTTCATTAGGGATCCTAAATTGAAGGCAGCCCAGGAATTCCTAATGTACTTCAACTTCTCCGCCACTGCAGTGGCTTAACCAAGCAAAGCGTGTAACAATACTCGTGCTGCCAATAGTCCACCAGGGACAAACCCCCTCTGCCTCTCTCCTCTGTGTGTGTGTGTGTGTGTGCTCCCCATGGCCTCCATTAAACTCACAGCTAATAATGGTGAAAGTAATATTTCAATTGGGTGAAACCTTTTATTGGATAATCACGCCGAGGTGCTTGAAGTCAGCTCCTAAAGCTCTAACCACCAAATTCATACAATAGGACACAATAAAGAAGCTGTTTTAAAAAAACTGTCAGGGGGCCGTTTGTTGAGGTGAGTGATGCATATCAATGAGTGAGTGTCAGAAAGATGGTTAATGTGTTGGTCAGATGTTAGAGCGAAGGTCTGCCCAACTCTGATTTGGGTTTTATGGCTCTGCTCCGTCTTGGCTTTGACGTGTCCTGCTCTGTTTCACAAACACACAGTAATTGGACGAGGGTCCAGCGGCTGCACTGGGCGAATACTGTGTGTGGGAGACATCCTAGCCGACACAGCTCACACATGTGCACTCAGGCGTGTGATGGTCAGACTTTTAGAGTTAAAATCAAATGGGTAACACACACACACACACACACCCAACAAACTGTTCAGGTCTGTGCTCCAGTCGACTGGAAACCCTGACCTCTGGGAATACAATTTTCAGTTGGCGCTCTTCCATTAAATGTTCAGTGCACACCTCAGTGCCAAGCCAGATGTCCAGGCATGTCACAAACCAGTGTGGCTGCCAATCCTGGGGGGGCATTTGTTTCAATTCCTGTGTTGCTCTTCAAGGTTTCAGTGGACTGTTCTTACAATATACAAATGTATATACCTTTGGTGCAGCAGTTGGCTTTCTTACTCAGAGCTACAGTACCTCTAGGCTAACGTATATTTCTTTTTAGTTTTTTTATGTTTCTAGCTTACTCAGAGCTACAGTATCTCTAGGCTAACGTATATTTCTTTTTAGCTTATATTTAAACTGTATCTCGACTGGCCTTATTAAAGATTTTGCTTAGCATAACATTCATTGACTCAATCTCTCCCCTCAATAATAAGTACCACCTTTTCCAGCCCATGTTTGATCTATAATGGCCTGGCGGGGTTGGGAGGTATAAAAAGTGAAAGTAACATATCATAACATGTTCCGAGACACAGTAATTGCACTCGAAGATAACAAAATTGTTCATGTGGTTTTTCCTAAGGTAACGTGGACCTTGTGAACCGCCTGCTCCTGGATGCGGGCATCACCTCAGATCTGATCAAGATCTGGAAACAAAAGGAGTCCCAGTAAGTGGATCCAGCACACCTGACATGGAATGCGGTTTGTTACTTGGCATTTGGTAACCAGTGAGAAATTCACAACAGATGGTTGAAATATGTTAGCATCACCAGTAAATTCCACGCAGGTATGAAGGACATTCTAGCCTCTCTGTAGCTTCATGTTTTATAGCTTTATCTCCTCTGATTGTCAGGCCTGGAGTCTCAGCCAGATTTGTTGCCACTGATGGAGGAATCACCAGGGTTTTCCCCAAAAGGTGGGTATTAAATAGTGAAAAAGCTGTGGATTGTTAGTGACCCTCTTACTGCTGAGAAGAAGTCATAGTAATAAGAGTAGAAGTAATACTTTGGTATAAGCACACGTAAAATGTTTTTTATGTACTGGTATAAAACCAGAGGGAATGAATTCATATTTATCCAACCAGCTGCATGTTAGTTTGTATTAGTCTGTCCAACAGGAGTTAATGCAAAAGAATAGCATCTGTCAGACCTAAATGATTTACTCCACAAAATATGTCTAAATGTAGCTTAATTTAGTCATAATCATTGGTAAAGTCTAACCAAATAGCTCCACAAATTATGTCTAAATGTAGCTTAATTTCTTCATAATCATTGGTAAAGTCTAACCAAAATTTAAACAACATTTTATGGGGTATTGACGTAAAAATGGTCTTGTCATTGTTACAACAGCATCTAAAAAATGTATACCGTATTTTCCGGACCATAAGTCGCACCAGCCAAATGAAGCATTGAATAAGCAATGAACATGAGAAAGAAAAAGAAAAAGTTGCGCCAATGCCCTCTAGTGGCTATCATGGTAACAATAAAGAAAATGTAAATTTCAATTGGAAAAGGAGTTGCAGATACTGGTACACAAGCTTAGAGTGCCCTCTAGCGGCTGTCAATAGGGAAATAACAAACGTGAAGTTATACATTATATAAATCCCGTCTGAATATAAGTGGCAAACCCAGCCAACGGATTCAAATAAAGTGCGACTTATAGTCCGGAAAAAATTGTCACAAAAAAACTGTTTTTGGTGTCAATAGTTTCAACTGTAGCTGTTGTCTGAATAGGTTGTTAAGCAGTTAAAATGGTTAGAAGATCTTTGGAGATGTGATTCATATTTTGGCAGAAATCAAACAAAATACATGTAATGGATGGTGTTCTAAGCTGTAGACTCTACAAACCCACTGACACTGTAGACTTGTTAACCTTGGAAGGATGAACACGCTGCTTTTAGAAGGCCATCAGTTTATGTTGTATGTGACCAGATAGTTTAGTAACATCATCAGCAGAGATGAAGATGGATCTTAATACATGCAGAAAAAACCCCAAAACAAAGCACAACGATCCCAGTACAGATCCCTGCGGTATCCCAGAGGAGAGCATTAGTGAGTCATTTTTATAACATAAGAAATGATGCTGCCAGTAGAGTTTCCAAAGGAATTCAGAAGGACGTCAGACTCAGTTCATTCATGGGAGTCCACCGTCATCATTGCAAACACTCAGGGACTGCAGAACAGTTGGACTGCAACACATCTTTCATGTAGGCCTGGAGGAAAGTGGATATTATAAATGGGCCCTGAGTTGCACAAGGAATCTAAGATGTGGTGTGTTTTCACAAGCTGAAATCTGTGTGTGCACGCGTGTATGTGTGTGTATAAATGCATCTGACAGCGCTGGGCTGGAGTGGACAGAAGAAGCAGAGACATATGAATCAAGTTTCTATAAGCGCAGCTTGGACAACGATCTGTACATCTTCACGCCAACACCTTACCTGGAGAGAGAGAACGGTGAGGAAAAGCCAATGTTGGGCCCAGTCCAGAATATATACATACTGTAGATATATGTGTGTGTGTATGTGTAACTTGATTGATTGGATTTTTTTTATGTCAAGAACAAATGGTCTTACAACACCATTATTGAGAGACACAAACCAGAGTCTGGAAAAGAACATAAATTACAGCTAATTCTTAACAAATAAACCTTCGTTTTTTTTTTTTGTTTTTTTTTTACAGCTTCAGAGAATAAACAGACAATTCGTTAGGCATTAAAACGCATGTAACGCTGTTTATATATATTGATACGTTAAACCATAATTTAGCCCAGACTCAAAAGTTGGCAGGATTTACGTCAGATCAACCTTGAAACTTCCACAAGAACAAACAACATCCATCATTTGAACCATTTAGAGCTGTGGGACTGGTGCATGAAGACAAAAAAGTGTTGAAAGTGTTTATTAGATTACACTTATCAAAGAAAAACTGAGCTGAAAATGTAGCAGAACAATCTCAAATAATGTAAACATGACAAGTTATTATAATAATGTATAATAATATCAATTATATTAGGAACTAATCAGATACAGGTATATGTGTATATATTACATATACATATATAGTAGTATATATTTATATGTATCTTTATATATAGTTTATATACATCTATATCTAAAAACCAGCCCAGGAATTACTGAAAACAAAGAAGCAAAATGTTACCCAAAAATTCATTAAAAAAAATAACTTTTCTCCTTTTTCTTCTTCTTCTTTTTTGTCCTTCTTCAGTTTGATCCAACAAAATGTAGAATAAAGGGACAAAACTACTTAAAATAGCCAACATTTAGATAAAATAAATTTTAAAAAAGTATCTGAAATGTTTAAAACTTTAAACGTTAGATCATTTTCTTTTTCCTTTTTTTTTTTTTTTTTTTTTTCCTTTCAGCAACGTATGACTCTGTGCTGGTGAGCCGAGCCGTGAACCTCGACCTCAACGGTATCACAGTGAAACCTGCCGGTGAGAAGTACACACACACACACACAGGTTTTTGTGTATTTACACCTTTCTCACTCTCTGTCCAGTTCTACATAAACACACGCTCGCCTACATTTCTACATGTAGTGTACACATCCAGACCTACAGCTCTGAAACCTGCTGACGCCTCGTCTGTCGTCTTTGTGGAGCACACAAAGACTTGTTACTCCTCGTTTGTCAGGCCTCCACCTCCTCCTCGTCCACCTCCCTCTGACACATACACACAAACCACACATCAGGTTGTCTCCTCTCCTGTGATCCTGGGCCAAGTTTGCCTTCCTTGAGTTCAGGGAGTAAAGTTGACACAGAGTTCTGATGTGATTGAGAATGTCTGGCTTTGTGTTTTTGATTTAAACAAAACAAATATATATATATATATATATATTTGTTCTTTTTGTCCCAGTGGTTGGTGTGAAGCTGGACATCAGCTCCTGGATGGCCAGATTCATCAACACCACCCAGAGGTTGAATGTGAGTATATCCTGTCCCCATGTCTCTGTCTTTGAAGAGGACAGAGACACACTTTCTCACTCTCTGCTCTGTTGTGTCTCCAGTGCAATGATGAGATCTGTGGATGTCAGAGAAACGATGAGGTAATAGGTTTAAGGGTTGTTTTTTCTTTTAATTTACGACAATATTGTTAGAATCCTTACATCTGTTTTAACAAATGTTTTTGTTTTGTCTGATCCCAGTATGTGGACTGTGTGATTCTGGACGATGGAGGCTTCCTGGTCATGTCCAATCGGGATGAATATCTCGATCAGGTTGGTCTCTGCATTGTCTTAATTTAGATTTTATAATTTTCTTTGACAACGAAGACAACAAAGTCCCATGACTTGTTTTTTTTAACGTTTGACCAGCACTGAAAAAATAAAATAAATATTCAGTTTAGAGGTATTTTTGATCAAAACTTTGATCAAAACTTTGTCTATCTTCTAAGCTAACCTGAGGACATTTTAAGCTGTTTCACAGTATTCACCACTTATTACTTCCAGTTTAGCTATTGTTTTGTTTTGCTTGTGTTTCTAACTTTAACGCATTTATTTTAAAGTCAGTTAAATGCAGAACATTGTATTCTGAAACTTCTGGGGTTTTTTTAGACCAAAGCCTGCATCTAGATAGTCAGCCATCCATTTGTCATGGTCTGTCGTTTCTGTAGTAGTTTCAGCATGGTGTCCATCCACTAGGTACAAACGTGAGTCTCAACCTGGTCCCGACCCCCTGCGATCAGCAAACCACGCTTAAGACATTAAAAGCCAAATCGACTATTACAAAATATACGTTTCCCAGTCGTTGCCAGGAGATACATGGTGCACAGACACACGGAGTTTACAGTAAGCTACACTCACTCCTCCCTGCTCCCTGCTGTCCTATCCTGAGTGCTAAGAGCGGGGCCCCTGCTGTCGTCTGAGTAAATGTTTTTTCATGCAGCCTTGGCCTCTGCCTAATCAGGCCTGGGTGTGTGCTGGATAAATCAGTCGCCCTCTGAAGTTTGGCAGCAGCACTAAAAACCCAGGGACCTGAGGCCGTGCTTGGAAACAGGCCGCACGGCTCTCAATCATATTTCTTACAGG